TCCTTCCTTCCTTCCTTCCTTCCTTCCTTCCTTCCTTCCTTCCTTCCCCTTCCTCCCTCCCTCCGAGACAGGGTTTCTCTGTGTAGTCCTGGCTGTCCTGGAACTTGCTTTGTAGAGCAGGCTGGCCTTGACCTCAAATCTTCCTGCCTCTGCCTCCCAAGTGCTGGGGTTAAAGGTATTCCTCACCACTGCCCAGCTGAGTTTCCTTTTTGTTGTTGTTTGTTTTGTTTTATTTTTTTAAACTGTGTTTTTCTTGAGGCAAATACATGTAGCTGGAAATTGTTTCTCATTTAACCATTTGTAGGTGTATAGCTTAGTGGCAGTAAGTGACACAACCAGAACCCTTTCATCTTCTCAAACAGAATCTCCATCCCCATTAAACCCAAGTTCCAGAGGTTTGGGGAAGGTGCCAGAGGATTCTGTAGGAAACCTTTCTGATGGCGGAGTGCCCTCTGGTGTGGGCTTCTTTATAGCCTTTTCTTCCTTCACATGTCTGCTTTAGTCCATGTCTTCAAATACACTTCTGAATTCTTACATAGATGTGTCTCCGTTGGGCCACTCCTGACTCCTTTTGCTACCATTGGTCCTCATGCCTCCCCCTTCCATCTTTTCCAGGGCACCTTAGTGCTTTTGCTGCCTTTTGAGATTGCCTGGGAGCCACCCTGGCTGGCACAGCTGCTCTGCTCTGCTCCATGTGCTCAGAAGTACCTTGTCATCCAACCCGCTAATGCTACAGGCTATGTGTGTTTCTGGGTGCACATGAACTTATCCTTGGATGGCTGAGTTCAAGGACAAGAACATTGTCCTGAGAGAGAACAATGGATGTTTCTTTATCTGGGTAGCTGGGTGCTTCCTCTCTCTTTGGTTGATAGGGTATAGGGGAGGTAGGCAGGAGATGAGGCTGGTAGGTAGATGGGGGGATGGTGACCCCTTTGTTGCTGCAGCCCTCAGCCTCAAGGAAAGGAACCTGGTCACTAACCTCAGCTTCCCAGTTATGACTGGCTTCATGGGAAAGGTCCACTCTACCTTTGCACTGTTGGAAACCTTGGCTTTGTGTGATTTGGCTTCTGTCTTGGGCCTAGCTCTACCGCCTTGAGATGGACCCACCTGGATGTCAGGCGCCTCCCCCTTTGGAGACAGCGTTCACATTCCTTACTTTACCCTGGCTGCCTTTCTTCCTCCTTGGTCCAGCCCAGGCCTGTAGGGGAGCTGCAGGGCTTATGTAGTTTTGCTTTCTCATGCTTTGTTAAGGTGTAAGCCACACACTGAGCGGACTACCCAGTTGTGCTGCCCAGTCTACAGTTGGAAGACATTATTTCAGGGTATTCTTGACACTGTGTGACCGTCACCGCTGTCAGCTCTCAGATGTTTTCTTTCATTACCTCGAAAAAAAAAAAAAAAAAGCCATAAGTCTTAGTAGTTACTCTCCACTCCCTAATGCCAGCCTCAGGCACACTCTCATAATTATCATTCTGTAGAGTCAGCCTTTCTGGACTGTGCTTACCAATGTGGCCTTTTGTGACTTCTTGTTCACTTTGTATGTTTTTATGTGTTTGCCCATGTAGTAGCATGTATCAGTAATTTGTTTTTTATGACAGTAATAACTTATGGCTAGCTCATGTCTGGGTTGGTGCTTGGATCGCTTGCTCTTTGAGGCTATCGCGACTGATAGTGCTCTGAGCATTCCTATGAAAGTTTTTCTGTGAGGCTCTGTACGGTTTTCCGTAGCAGATGGCAGGGCCCTTGGGAACATGTAATATTGTAGGAAACAATTTTTTTCTGTCTTTTTTTTTTTTTTTTTTTTCTAGTCAGAATTCCTACAAGAATCCAATCTGATCATGGCCAAGCTTAATTATGTGGAAGGAGATTATAAGGAAGCCCTGAACATCTATGCCCGGGTGGGCCTTGATGACTTGCCACTGACAGCCGTGCCCCCCTACAGGTTGCGGATGATTGCTGAAGCCTATGCTACCAAAGGTGAGGTCTGCATGCTTTCCCTAGCCCCCTGTTTGTCCCTTGTGCTCTTGTCTGGTGACTAACGTGACTATTCCCAGCAAAGCCACTGGGATCAACCCTGCTGCACATTCGAAGTAACATTAAGCCCATAACGTTTTGATTTCTGAGAACCTCAGTTCTATAGTTTTAATATTTTGGTGATGTTTCTTGATAGTGAATTTCTTGGTAGTGAATTTTCTGGAATTAAGTTCCTACACAGCATACACAGAAATTCACTTCATATGGTAACCTGGCTACAGGGCCAAACATATTTTCATTTGTTAGTGTTAAATATGTGTTTATCAAGGCCAGTTGATTAGTCCATAGTCATCTCTGTAACAGCCCTCTGAAGGGTCTGCTTTCAAGGGACAAAGAAAGTATAGTTGCTCTCTTCTGCTGTGAAGCAGCTTGTAGTCTTGTGTGAGTGGATGCAGTCCCGTGAGGAGAAGGATGGAAGGCAGAGGGCATACTGTCAGGCTGGTGCTATTGCCAAGCTGCTGATCCCTCCTCTCTCATCATAACTGTGTCATACGGTTATGAGGAGGAGGAGGCCAAATAATGTATAGAAAACACTTGCTATGCCACCTGGCACCTACTCAGCGCTCAGTAAATGATGCTCTAATGCCAGCCTCAGACAAGAAACACATGTGAAAAGACTAAGAAAGTAGCACCTTTTCAGAGGCAGAAGAAGGTTCTCTGGTCTTTCAGGTTCAGGAATGCTTGCAGACAGAGGGTCACTCAGAAGTGGGCTTCCCAAGGCTCTGGCATTTGTAAATGGGCAGCGGGAAGCCTCTCCTGCTTTCGGCCCCCCAGGTACACCCTGCACCTGACTGTGGCTGGCACAGGGCCAGGGAGCAGGCCACCTGCATGCTGCTGAGATAGGGGCTGTAGGTGGTCCAGCCTGCCTGACCCACTCATCCTGTACAGTACTGAACAAATTCCCACCCAGAGGTTTACTTAAGAGATTTGTGACAGGCCTGATGTCCTCACCCAGTTCCCTGGAGCCTCCAGAGCTGCTGAGCTCATCTGATTATCTAAATGCCCCTGTGGGTTGGGAAAAGATACCTCAGCTCTTGACAGAACACTTGCAGCTTAATGGACTTGGTCTTTTGAGGCTGTCTCCTGGGTCTCAAGAGTGTCTGTCTTTGTTTGCAGAAGCCAGGGGCCTAGGGACTGAGTCACACAAGTTCCCTCTTCTCTCTCTGCATTGCATTGCATTCTCCTCACGGGCCTCAGGCTGCTAGAGATAGCGATGTGTACTTCTCCAGGCCTGGAACAATACTGTATTCTGAGAGCGAATCTTTGTTAGGTAATTTCCAGTTACCTGACCAACCTGGGCCCTGGTAGCCAGGGTTTGGTTTGTTGGTTAGGGCTAATGAGTGGCTAATGGTCTTCTTAGCATCAGAGATCAGGTTTTTTTTCTCAGTCTTAAGAGACTGAGAAGAGTGAAGGCTGTCTGTCTGCAGGGTACTGCCAGCTCAGTCTTGTGGTCCCTGAGTTTGGCAGTTAAAAACAAGATTGATACTGGCTCTTGAGATCTTTGCTACCTAATGAGACATGTAGCTCTGGTTAGTTTCTGATATATGCAGGCACCTGCAGAGTCACACATGTATTGGGAGAGTGAGTGGTTACTTTGCCTAGAAAAAAACAGCAGCAGCCTTGAAGGACCCAGACAGAGAGCCCGGAGGACCTGGAGGGCCTGGAGAGTCCATGCAGAATGATGGTGTGAGCACCAGCTCTTACCATCTGCTTGGACCTGGGCTGTCACTGTCATACCCTGGCAGTATTTATGTGGAAGTTTTATAGCTCATATACCTCGGTTTTTCCATTTGCCAAAGTCTACATGGGATATAAGGATTATATAAAATTATATATACATCTATCTGTCTATCTATCTATCTATCTATCTATCTATCTATCTATCTATCTATCATAAAATTTTACCCGACACATAGTATGATAGAAATGTTAGCGGGGGTTAGAGAGCTGGCTCAGGGGTCAAGAGCACTTGCTGTTTTTGCAGAGGGCCTAGGTTTGATTCCCAGAACCCACATGGTTGTTCACAACCATTGGTAGGCATGTACACAGTGCGTATATATACATACATACATATATGCAGGCAAAATACTCATACACATAGAAGAATACAATAAAAATGAAAAAAAAAACATATTAGTGGAGAGCTGGAGATAACCATCACAGATATGTTACCCAGTGTTAGAGGGAAACCACTAGGGCCATTTCTCTTATGATGAGGCCTGAAGAGTTGCTTAGGAAAGGGGAGTGCCCAGTGCTTGGGGCAGCAAGAGACATATCCAAACAGGGTTGCCTGGGGCTGGGACCAGGATATGTGCCCTCAACCTCATTAGTCATGCCCAGGACTGGCTTGGAAGGGCCTGTGCTAATGATTTCATCACAGAAGGTTTTTCATGTTGGGATGTGCAGTCAATTCAAGAAATGTTTCTTTAAGAGGCAGATACTCCCACAGTCCCACACAGCTCTCCCTCGGGGTGGGCTGGAGACCCTTGCTGGTGAAGAGGCCTCTCAGAGGAGGAGAAATATCTTTGGTCTGGGCTCCTGTGCTCTGACTTCTCCTACCAACAAGGGCTAAGGGCCCAACCTGTGGTGCTAGCTAGCTTTCTCCACAGACTGCAGATATTGTAGACCTCTCTGCTTCTTGGCAGTGTGTGAAGAGGGACAGCAGTGAGGAGGTGACAACTAATTATGAACGTGCTCCCCTTTGCAGAATGTCTCAGAGCTTTCACCTGCCTCACTGCTTGGAATGATCCCAGCCCCTACTTCCTTCCCCGACTACCCACTGTGAGCATCAGGAGCCTGTCTACAAGGCATAGTATAAGAGAAGGGAGTGGGATGCCTGCCTTCCACAGTGGCCGCACAGAGGTCAGGAGGGCTCCAGACCAGGCTTTTCACAAATCTGCCAGTTTCCCCAAAGCCTGGGAGCCATGATCTTTTAAACAGAAGACATGTTCAAAAAAGTTTGTGTCTTGGCCAGTCTCAGTTTGCAAGCATAGTGTCTTCACACACCCACATACTTCAACTCAATGTGATCAGCCTGAAGGTCAGACCTGGAGTGTCTGTCAACACAGAGAGAAGCTCCTGGAATTGTTGTGTTCGAGGGGCCTTCGCCCAGGACAGAACCAGCCAAGCCAACGTCTCAGAGATGATGAGTGCCATTCACCCTGGAGATGGTCCACTGATGACTGGCATTCACCCATCATTGCTTGTTTTCCACCACTCTTTCCTTAGTTCTGGGCACATGGGCGCTCTCAAAAAATCCTCAAGACAAATTGAATTGGGAATTCATGTAGTGGGCAGCTGTGACTTGAACATTACCATGCTCTAAAAAGATGACACATTGAGACCACCAACGTGTCTTTAAATAGCATTTTTCTCTCAATTAAAAAGAAAACATGAGTGTATTCACTCTTTTTTGTTCAGGCACATGCTAACAACTCTGTGTGTCAGGAAGAGATGAGACCCCAATGACATGACGTAGGCAAGGTATTTCCTTGAAAAAACTTATTTTTCCCTCCTAGAATAGCGTTGTGAGGCAGCTGCTCTGGTTTTCCTGGGAAAGGAGACAGGTTTCTTGATGCTCCCAGGTCAATGGCTGAGGCTCTGTTTTTGGCTTCTGAGAGAATTTAGGTGTCGCGGGGGTTGGTTCCCTGCCAGGTCTGTGCCTGAAGCATCCAGGTAGCTGGTACAGTCACTCTTCTCCCTAGACTGTAGGCTGAAGGCTTATGACCCAGCTGACTGCTTTGCTTAGCTAGTAGCTTCAGTCCCAGGAAAGACTATCACAGCTCATCTCTTCATCCTGCTCCTGTTTGCCAGTAGGGGCTCCGTCGGGGTGGCAAGGACAGTAGAGAATCTGAGTACAGTCTTGGATTTGGTTAGAAAGGTCAGTGACTGCTGGGGGCAGGTAGAGAAGAGGTCGGAAGAAACCTGCCTTGCCTCTGCCTACTCTAGCAGTCTGCTATGCTGGTAAAATGCACAGGCGTGCTCCGTGCACAATGGAGGTGAAAGAGTCAGTGCAATTCAAAGCCAGCGACTGATGCTGCATCACACAGGACTCGGGACATGGTGCCATAGCTCCTGCCTTGGGTGTACACAGGGCAGTAATGTATGGCACATTGACCTTAGCTTAAGCTGAAGATGCCTTTAAAGTTCTGCCAAAATTTCTTTAGATGAAGAAAACCCAACCTAAGTAGACCTGGGTAGCACTCGGATTCAGAAAGACTTGGATTCTTTCTCTCTGAATCTCTGGTCACCTGCCCTCCTGCTAGTTCCCATCTGGGTTGGGAGTAAGTGGAGCAGCTCCAGGCCTGCTTTCTCTGGGGTTTGATGCTCAGGACTCAGCCAGGTTCTCCGTGAGTCTCAGTGGGCCGCGCAGAATTGCACTGCCATCCTCAGTGGAGTTAACTATGATGTATGTGGTGCCACCAGAATGAGCCCAGCAGGGAACCTGTGAAGAAGAGAGGTAACCCACTTAGGAATCAGGGGGAAAGGGCCAATGCCCTGGACAGATGTCCACAGTAGTAACTCCTCCTAGTAAGAGTCTTCCAGTAGATCCAGAGCCTTCTAATCTCTTTCTCCATTGAGGCAGCCCTGACAGGCAAAACAAGGAGGGGCCCAGTAACTGCCCTGTGACAGGGTCACTGTGGCTTTGGGAGCAGACTTGTAGGTAAACACTGAAGAAATGGGGAAGAGCAGTCTGGAGGAATGGAGGAGCTAGGGAACACGTGCAGAGGGTTCTAGAGGAGGAGAGCTACATTTGTTGAGCCTCAGGGTTTGGTCAGTTGGGTGGAAAACCACAAGCAATCCAGTGTGAGTCTGTTTGCAGAAACTTTTGCAACAATCACAGCCCCCTTGGACTGGCCTTTATAAAGAGCTCTAGAGCAGGTGTGGTGAGTGACAGACCAGTGGGACTACACTTGTCCTCGGAGCGCTCTGGTATTACAGGG